TATGAATTTGTATCGGGCCTGTGTTTTTGGCTTGTTACAAGCGTCACTCTTAAGCACCGTCAATTCCATGGGCGGAATTACAGCAGCACCAATCCGGTGCGACCGCGCGCGGAATAAACGCTCGTCAATGCCAATCATTAAATGCGAATTAATGATCCGGCCATTGTGCGCGTTTATACGTCGTTCTATCCGTTCGAGCGACGATTAGCAGAGGATTACGGGGCACCGTGATGTCCGAGATAATGCTCGGTCCATTGAACGTCTGCCACCGGCTAATTTAAATCCGAACCGCGAAAAAGGATCCCTCTATGTATCCGAGCCAACAGAATTTGGAGCGCAGCCGGGCCAATTTTCGATTTAATCCAACGACGTGTTGCGCGAAAGCTATACATGCGTTATTATTCGTATATCCCGCTTAAATGTAAACTCGTTACGCTGAATTCTATTTCATAAAACGAGCATTATCATCATACGCCCGTAAATGTCCTGGAAACGTATAAAATATGCGCACAAGTGCGGAAATTTCTGTTATCATGGTATTTTAATAGAAATCTTATTGGTCGCGAGTCTCATTCATGTCATGTTATTAAGTTAATCGCACTCGGATTGCGATGTAAGAATGGAAAGATGCTTTAAATATCTTATTATATCGACAGAAAATAACTACCTATAAACCGCTTTAATCTTGCGTTCATCGCAATTTAAATTCTTCAAGTTCTACATTAACGTTCTGATCAAACGCAGATCTTCGCCTTCAATAAATAAGTGAATATAAAGCAGTCGCAAAACATTCGCGACGGAGAAGGATGACGGTACACGCCCATTTTTCTCGATATAAACAGAGAAACGGATAAAACGAAAGATCGGAGCTCGGACTTATCCTTCTCTCTCTCCCTCTCTCTTTCTCTCTTCCTTTCCCCGTACACCTCAATTTATTACAGTAGCACAAGGATGATTTTCGAGAGAGTCGCTCTTTCTCTCTCGCACGCGCGCGGAATTCTCGAAGCCCCGGAGAGATTTATCGAGGAACGTGGATGTTCCGTTAAGGATGCGGGCTAAAAATCAAGCGCCGGATAGCCCCCCTTTCGCCGTTTGCTGTTTCAAGCTCGTTGTATATTTGCGTATATACATAACGCGGGTGACCGATGTAAGGAGAAGCCGGCAAACAGAGTGGCATTGACGACAGCATGTTCTCGTGAGCAACGGTATCGCCGGGACCGAAAGAAAGGTTGCCTTGTCCTCCCTGCCTTCCTGTCGGCGAGAGAGGATTCGTGTACCGCTCAACATCGCGTCCGTGTAAGCTAATCGTCATTGAGAATATGGCCCCGGGGCCACCGGCGCACTGTACCCTCTCTCATTGTCCTAATTTCCGGAACCGACGTTCGCGGCGCGAGACCGCACGAGCGAGCGCACGCCTAATGCGCGGCGGTCATTCATCAGCATCTACTTGTAATAAATACCCTCGGGTCAGGATTGTGCGTTTCTGTAATGATGTGCCACGTCGGACCGAATATATATCACGGACTCGTCAAAATTCGGCCCCGTGCGCATTCAGCGTGCGAAAGAAGAGAAACTGCTTCGAATGGGCCTGCTATCGACGAAGGTCGACGATGTTACCTATTTTTTACGCAATATAAGTCGCTGAGCTGCTTAATTCTTTGAAAAGAAATCGTACTCACTTATAATGTGAAATTGAAGTAAGTTTTCTTACATGGCAGCTTGTATTCTTCGAACAAAATACGCGATAATAAGGAGACATTAACTTTACATATCTTATGTATACGCGGCTTTGAATTGTGTTCTTGCCCTTAATTTAAATTTCTAATTATAAATTATACGGAGTTATCAAGTATTGCTCTTGACGGGTATACACGAGCACACGAATACTTAAAAGTTAAATTAATTGTTTGAAACATCCGTTAACCATCGCAACGCGTGTTTCGCTCGTAGGAAATGAAGTCGCTTCGATAAACACCTGCTAAAGTTTACGTTGCGTTTAAGCTTGAATTTACTGTCAATAAATATAAGACGCCCCGTTCATCGTCGCACGACGAGGAGAAAGTTTTCCTTTGAAGGCAATGTAGCAAATGACTACCAGAAATGCAATGCGATCGACTGCGCAGCGGACTTTGTGATCGTAAATCCTTTCGATTGCAGCACCGATTGTAACTACATCAGGTACAAATGTTGCACGCAAAGGATCGCAGCCAAAAGGAATATACGTCACATGATCCGAAAGAGCGAACGCCTACAGCGAGACACGGGCTTTCAAAATTAAAATTGTTAAACAAGAACATAAATTTTAATATTTGGCAATGCGGTTTAAAATATCAATAAAAAAACAGAGAAATCTGATTAAGATATAAAAAGATATAAAAATCACAGCAAAATAACTGGTTTATCAATTTCATTAAACATTTTTCAAAATCTTGTTAACAAGAAAAGTTCTCGGAAATTTAAGACAGTAATAAAACGAGATAAAATATTCGGTGAAGATATTTACAGTCAGTTTATCAATCTTTAAGCCTAGACTCGGCGCATTATCTGCTATTAAAAAACGAGATCATCGAGTCGAGCAAACTTTCCCACATTACTCACGGCCGCGAGACGCAACCAGGATAATCTACGGGAGGTCGTCGCGGGAAAAACGTCCTCCCCTCGCGAACCGGGGAAGAATAATTATAAGCATCTCCGGCAGAGAAAGTATCCTCGGGGAGTCCCGGCGAGCGGATGACGACGATTGGTGGTGCGGCGACCGGGCACTGTACTCCGCGATCGTAAATCCCGCCGGTTGTATTAGCGATCCGCGCAAGTACGTACGCGAGTATGTTATGCGCAAAAGGACCACAGTAAGTCACCCGGCCTTAAGAGAGAAGAGGTGGTATCCTCCTACCTGCAGCTAGGAAGTGCGAGTAATATGCGCTCGGTGCACGAGCAAAGCGACCGCACGCTCGTAGGGAAGGGAAATGAGAGAGTGAAGGAGGAGCAGGGACGGAGAGAGGAGGAAAGTCACGTCGCGCGGAGGCCACGGGCTCATTGATCATTTCGATCACTTATGCTAATCTGTGCGGTGAAACTGGTTTGGATGCCATTCGAAGTAATTATTTCACACTTGCAAAGCGGCTGTTATTAGTAGCGGGAGCTGTAGCTGTGGGCACAAGGATGAAGGGCTACGGAGTCACAGGGATACGCGGGCGCAGGGAAGAGAGACTGGACGATAAAGAGTGTGAGGGCTTCGGGTGGACACGGATATCCGACGCGCGACATATACGCCTCCTCTTACATAGTTCGTCCCTCTCATAATCAGAGATCGAACCCGCTGATATCCCGATCGTCGTGCTGCCGCGACAGCGTTATGCAAAAACCGATTAACCCACTTATTGCGAGACGTGTTCGTCAAACAAATATCTTTATTAGATTGTTTATGGCGAAAACGTCGTGATGATGTTGCATGGCTATATTTAACTTGGTATCGCAGGCGGATATCTTTTACATATAAATAGCATTTTTATGAAATAATAAAATTTATAACGAGAGAGTAAAATTAGCGATACATTAATAAAGAATAAATGTGAATTCTTAGAATAAATGTGCGAATGCGCGTGATTCTATAAAAGTACTATCTACATAATTGCTTACACGGAGTAATATATTTCTACTTGACTAGAGAAGGCATTACACGTCGAGTTCTTGGAAAGTAACGACGGTTACCGCGCTATTAGATTAAGGTGTAGGGTGGAGAATCGAAAATATATACACCATCGACTAATCACTCTTATGACTCCCATAGGAAATAAAAGTGAGAGCTTTTTTTCGTCATTAATATACGTAAAACTTATTATCATTACTAATTTCTTATTGCAGCTATGCTGTATATATATTATACTTTCATTATTAATTCATTTATAAAAATAGTAAAATATATTTTTGCATGAGTAAAATTATTATATTAATTCATATAAATTTATTTACATAAATTATTTGATTAATCTGAAAATAATTTCTTTCTCATATATTTAAGTGTTTGAGAGATATACTTTTCGCAATTTTTTAATATTAATTATATTTATATCAATCGATTGATAAAATTCGTTATTTCTCATTCTTTATTTTTATTTTTAATCTCGCGTTTTTTTCCTATCACAGCATTTGATACAAGTGAAAGGTTAAGAGAAAAACGCGCCGATCGACACCATGGACCACGGATGATTTAACGACTCCCTCGAAATTTCGATCGGATCGCAAGAAGAAAAGAGAAACGGTCGACGATGAAGAAGAAACGGAGGAGTTGAAAGATGAGAGTTTATAACGAGCAGTAGCGCACCCCAATGATTTACGAGTCGGTTCCTACGCATGAATCACGCGTGCTGGAATAAAGAAATAGGAGGAGCGGGGTGGTCGATTCGGAGAAAAGATATGATTTTCAGAAATCTCCCGGAGCTGTGTAATTGCGCAGTGCAATACGGTAATTAACGCGCGTTCGCAATACCAATCCTCGATCAAAGAAAAATGATGTTCTTAATGAAAACACATTTTTCATAATACTATAATATTAAATTGATATTTCATATATATTTATATCAATACTGAAGAATGCAATGCATTTATATTGTGTATGACAAGTGAATCGAGGTAATTCTACTTCATATTTAATTTAATAATCAACAACAAAAAATAGTTTATCTTGACAATTATGATAATAAATAATTTATATCTGTTATGCATTAAAATATGAATAAACCTGTCTATTTTTCAAATTATTACTTGTGTCTTCATTTAGACTTAATAGAATCATAATTTAGTAATATTATAGAGTAATAAATAATTGATAAATGGTAGAAATAACCGATCAAAAATAATCAAATGTCAAATACACATAATTAAATTATAAATCATTAATCAAAAAATAAATTGTGTACAACAATTTCACACACACTATACATAAACCATTATTTCAATATATCAACCATTGTGCAAATGTAATAAATGAATTTACTCACCGGTCGATGCGCTGTTGAATGTACAGATGTATCTTACTCCTTTCCGTTACTGATTGCTTTATTTTTTTCTGCTCCAGGTTACTTTTTCGCTCCAGACGTCTTCGTGAATGTATTATGTGACATTCTTGATCACTTTTTTTCATGCACTTATTAAATACGGTTTATTAGTTCATTATTTTATTCGTGTTTCGTAAAACTAAAATCTTTATTATTTCACTAATTCATTGATTCACTCGCGTTTCGCCCGATATTTAATTCGACATTCCGGATGCTTTACATGCGAAATTCATTTCCGACGGATAAAAAGACGCGAAAATTCGAAACGAACCGGAGAGCGTTTAACACATATTGACTACGCCATATTTGTTATGCGGACGCGAATATCTCAGGCAAACGACATCACTTGCATTCATAAATATATCATAGCGATTTTTCGATGTTTTTGTTGCTTTTCGATGCTTTTCGTGTCGCGGATGGCACATGCGATATTTGTTGGACGAATAAATAACGTTAAATACACACGAAAGTCGCGTACCCAAAAACAATTCTGCAAAGAAACGCGAAATGAGAAACTTCGGGTAAATGTGCGGTAGAAAGGTTATCTGGACGCTACTTACAAGCGCAATGGAAAATATGTGAATTGCAACCATATAACTTACATAGACACACTGAGACGATTGTCCATTGTTCAATTCGGCATTCCAGACACTTCTTGACCGCGTTGTGAAATATATATACGTTTTGCCGCATAAAAAGGCGCGAGAAACACAGAACGATCGCGAATAAATCGCACCGGGGACGGTTGAGTGTGACGTATTTCTGACGTCATGCGCGCGCGTCCCGCGCGTGCGTCCCGCGTCTTATTTCACGGCAAATATTTCAATACTATAAATAAGAAGCGCCATCTGTCGTAGATGATTACCTCTTGTCCAATTCAGTCCTCCTGACACTCATTTGCACGCAAAATTCACTTTCGGTAAGTAAAAGAAATGCAAGAAACAGCGAGTCCAAATTCAATATTTCAGTGCTCGCGCTGCGAAATATACTGATTGTGAGTAGCTTACTGAGGTTGCGTAGGTATGTGAAGAGGGGGAACGTCTCATTGCCTCGGCGACGACGAGACATATTCCAAGAAAAATGTGAGCTCGGCGACGTAAACAAACCGAGAAAATAAGATTTGAACGATGCTTTTTAGATTTCGCTTATTTTCACGAAGAAATAATAGATATATGTAAGATTAAAAATTATTTTTGAACACAATAGGAATATTGCAAATTCGAAAATGCATTACTGATGCGCGATTATTATATTACAAAATTCTAATATAAACAATGCGTTATACAAAAATAAGCAAACTCATCAAATATTAACTTTTAAATATATGAAGTATAAAATGTAGAATTTTTATGTTATAGATCTTGCTACGTGCAATGTGTACTTTATTTTTCAAAATTTTGCGTGCTGACTAGTTTGGTATACCTGACTAGTTTGGGTATAACATTATTTGCATTCAGTGAATACAGTAATAAGTTTAACAATGCAGCTCCCTCTCGGTCTCTACTTTTTCAGTCGTATCGCGTAGAATAGATTGAAGTAAAAATGCATCCGCTTTTATACGAATCTTTTTATCAATCGAAAAAATGAATTTCGTGTGTAAATATCAAGAGTGTCGAATTAAACGACGGGTGAGCGTCTATTCAACCGCAACATCGCGATTTCATATGTTTTCAACGATTGCAAGCAGCGTCGAAATAACCTATCTACCGAGGTATCAAAATTCATCGCTTTGCGTCCCGTCGCGAGACTATGAATTTCGCATTATTTGCTCATCTGACAAACATTTTATGTCACTCATAATTCGTAGCATCAAAGAGCATTAATGAAAGTATTGAAAAATTACCAGAATAAACTCATCAAGACAAGTGATATTGCTTACTTGCGATATATCGATATATCGATATGCGACATTTTCTGTGTAATAGTACGAAAGTAGACGCATGAATGTGGTTAATACAAATATAGTTAACAATCGCTCAATTCGCGTCGTATGTCCTAATACCGTAAATGAATCGCTTTATGTTTCGCATCTTTGTTGTTTGTTTCGGAGAAATTTTATGTGCAAACAAGTGTCAGAAGTATCGAATTGAACGCTGGTGATCGTCTCAATACGTTTATTAATATGTGAAACTATACGATTAACGCGTTTTTCAATGCTTGTAAATAACGTCAATTTAACCTATACATCGCGACACTTTATATTGCGGATTTTGAAAGTTTCAGTCGCGGAACACGAGTAAATTAAGAATTTAATAAATTGTTGAAGTTTACTTTTGCAAA